GGCCCTGAAGCAGTTCAAGGTGTCGGAAGCGTACAAGCCCAAGGGTCAAGAGGACGACGGCAATGGGAAGGGCAATATGCTGCACACGATCAACCCGATGCCGAGCATCAGGGTGGCCATGGGCGTCGAGAGGATTCCCAAGGAGAAGGGCGAGTTCGAGATGGACGAGGACGGGAACCTAGAGAGCATGAATGACGAGGAGGGGCATCATAAGGACGAGCTGGGCGACTACCACCCTCCCTACCTGAAGCAGGCGATGGGCTACGAGCTGAAGCTGCTGGGAGGGGTCTACAGCACGAGCCACGGCCCCAAGAGCGACCTGGAGAGGCACGTGGAAAAACAGTTGCAGGCGTCGAGGTCGTAGGAGCAGGGGGACTGGCCAGAGAAGCGGAAGCGTCCTTTCAGAGCAGCCAGGGCGCGTCCAGTTCGACAGGTCCCGCCAAGACGCCAGTGCGCCCAGTCGTTTTCACAGCGGCGCCCTCGCCTCAGACGCTAGCCCAGCCAGTGACAACTCCGCAGACCCAAGAGGAAAAGCTGGCAGAGATGTTGAGCCGTAATCCTGAATCGATGAAAAAAAAGAAGTAATAGCAAACCAAGGTGGGAACTAAGGAAAAAAACATGCAAGCAGCTGCACGAACTCGCCAAGCGATTTCAAGCAGAACGGCTCCACGCATTACGATATCACTCGGAGAGTGCAGGAGGACGAGGAGGCAGTGGAGGTAAACGTGTTTAAGATCAACAGCAGAACTTACTACTGACTGGAATACGATGGGGGACAGACAGCACAAGTATGACGGTTAATTGGGATTATACAGTTACGACGGGTACGTACACGACAGGGGAGGGCATTGTTACAGGGCGGGGAGGGATAAAGCACTGTTGCAGAATGATGAAATGATAAAGGAGTGGGGGCAACAGGGAGCACAAGTGGTAGGCTACATATGAGGGGAAGTACTGTGACGGACACTACTACAGAGAGGGGAGAATCTGGACACAGAGCAGGCACCGACGTCGGCCCGTCCTTTGCCCCGTGCATTCGGCATTGCTTCAGAGCAGATAGCACTCAGAAGGGGGTAGCAGCATGCAGGACTTCGGATGCTAGTGCCAGCTGATCAGGTCTGTTCAAACACGAGAACAGAAGTGCAGGCAGCATCATAGGCCTAAGGCTCCCAGGAGTGCCCATAGGAGAGCTCTACTATACTCGAGGGGGGGGGGGGGGGGGGTAGCGCCCATACGGGTGGGCACGATCCCTTAAAGGCGACGGAGCGTGCCCCCCCTCGAGTCTCACGCTTGTTCGCCTGTGCCCTCGGAGAGACTGCCCTGGCTCCTGCTGCGTGTCCCACCGACGGTTGGTCACAACAGGAGTGGAACATCCGTAGCACAACAGGCTTTCTGCAGTTGCGGTCTTTTGTTGGCTCGCCACGCTAGCTTAGCCCCAGCCTGCCCCGTGATGTCGCAGATGCTGCCAGTGATCGAGGGGGCACCTGTGTTTCGAGGAGACACCACGGACAACCACGTCATCGGAGATGAGGCGGACGTGGTCAAGCTCCAGGAGACCAACATCCAGAAGTGCGTCGACACGATGGCGGACCTCAAGAAGAAGCTAGAGATGCATATCGAGGTGCTGATTACCCAGGAGAAGGTGCTGAGCCAGAACCTGGCGCGCAGCCAGCAGGTGGTCGACACGACGGCGGAGGGGGCTTTCATGCTGGCTGAGAACATTTAGACCCTGGCGCGACGACCAGATCAAGAGCATCGACGAGACCACGGGCGCGCTCATCTCAGCACACGGGTCATTGGCATGGAAATACGACACACCATTGCAGATGGCATTGGCTAAGGCGTATGGCAAGCTCCAGCTCGATGAGAAGTGGGACTTGCAGGGCCTGGTCATGTCGCAGAATGTGAAGAGGGCCATGTTCGAGGCGAAAAGGGCTAACAATGGTACCATCCCACAGTGGAGGGCAGACGACCCAAGCTCGTGGATCTTCTACGGGTGGACGCCTCCAAAGGGAGGAATCCCAGTGTGGAACAAGGACGACCCGAAGACGTGGACGTTCTACGGTTGGAGAGAGCCCAGGAAGTGGGTCGACTACAAAGAGGGCAAGAGCACCAAGCCAGAGACGCCAGAGGAATCAATTCCACAGAGCGAAGCGACGGCATCAGCATCCAGTGACGGTTGCAATGTGCCGATCCCAGAGTCAGAGGAGGACCAATCGTAGAGGAGAGCAGAGAGTGAGGAAGAGAGGCACGGTCACTGAGAGCCCGCTGCGCAGCTCGTTTGCATCTCAGCACGGCCGTTGACCGATGAGAAGCTAGCGTTTGCAAGAGAGAGACATTGACACAGTCATGTGGGGGACCACGGAAACAACATGACATCACTGCAGGGATTGTGAGTGTGTGGACACGACTACTGGCCAGCCCCACTAAGGACAACCCACTGCTGGTCTGTGCCACTTCTGAGGTCCTGGACCGTACCTCCCAGTCTAGTGTTCTTTGTTTAGGAGTTGCGAGCTTCGAGGAGGTGGGGAGAGGTGAGCGCGGGGGGAGGTCGTTTCGCCCCGTGCCGCCCCGCCCCCGCGCGCCCGCCAGAGAGCGCGCCGCCGCAGGAGGCAGGCGCCCCCGCGGCTGCGCCCGCCCCCCCCCCCCCCCTCGGATCTCGCCCTTTGCCGCCCTGCCCCGAGCGCCCGCCGGAGAGCGAGCAGCCGCAGGAGGCAGGCGCCCCGCGGCAGCCCGTCCTCCTCCCCCCCTCGGGTTGTGTGTGTGAGTTGTGTGTGAGAGTGTTGTGTGTTGTCTGTCTCGTGCATGCCCTTCATGCCCCTTGCCTTGGAGGGGGTGCGCGTTGCTAGTAAGTAGCCTGTGCCCCGCTCCCGAGACTGAGAGCAGGACGCGATAGGGCCCCCTGCACGCCCCCCCCCCCCCCCCCCCCCCCCTCGTTAATTACCAGGGGGGCGCGCCCCAGGCAGGCCTACGGCATCAGGCGTAGGCCCTGCATCCATATTGTTTCGCAGGGATATTATAAGGTATTGTCCCGCGGTGCCTCGTGCCTGTCGTGGTTAGGATCAAACTCATCCCCTAAGCGCCTTTACTTTTTTTTACCTCCTCCTCCTCCTCCTCCGCCACCCTGCTCCTCCTCCTCCTGTTACTCCTCGCCCACCCTTTTCCTCCTCCTCCTCCTCCTCCTCCTCCTCCTCCTCCTCCTCCTCCTCCCCTGTTCCACCACCGACGCGTTCGCCCTGCTTCGGGCCCAGGGGAGCCCTCGCATATAGACCGGATCGAGACACGGACGGCTTCCGGGACTCTGGCAAGGAATTCCTGCGCTGTTGCAATGGTGTCGCAGCGTCGCATCCCAGGGCCACCTGTCTCCCTTACTTGGCATCGCTCGGACGTGTGCATGTTTCCTTCGGCGAGGACCATCGAGGAGCATCCTTGATCATTTGGCGACAAAACCACGCACGAAACCGACAAAAACACACACGAAACCGAGCGATGGCGAGCTTACCAGCGCCGCAGCACTAGGAGTAGGCGGTCGGCCCCCTCTGGTGGTCCCCGCCGTCCCCCTCCTCCCGACGAGTGATGCCATGGTTCATCGCCGATTTAGCGCAGATTGTATACGATCAGCGAGATCACGCCGGACATGTGACTGAACATCCAACAAGCATCCTGATCTTCTGCCGAGCCTGTGGTATCGGCCGCGAGCCCAGGGAGGAAACACGAAGGAGCAGGCCTTCTCAGAAGGCTCGGAAGTCCTCCGGCTTTCTGAGAAGTTGTCCAAGCCTTTCCCGAAGACGCAGACAGTGTTTCAGCAGGTGCGAGGGCTCCTGAGAAGTCCAGCCGCCTTCCGAAAAAAAAAGGTTTTCTCCTTCTCACTTCTCCCCCTCGCTCGCCGCCGAGTGGTAGTTATTCAGAGGGAGCTAGGGCGCAGGGGCTGTAAGACCGTTGCTCCCCAGCCGCATGTTCCAACAGAGCTGTGTCCCACAGCTTGCCGCGTCATGCAAGGCACGCCCCCGAATTACCGTCGGGGTAGCGAAGTCATTCTAGGTTTAAGTGGGGCATCTCCTTCTACAGGAGGATCATGCAATACTATTAAAGCGTAGTCTGATAACGATTGTTTGTGCTCTCTTGACTACTTGGCGATGCTGACTTACTATGTTTTATTTGTCTGATGAGAAACCCGCGTGTAGAAACGCATGTCCAACCTACTTCTAGAGTACCTCCTTCCCTTCGATCGCATGTTCCAGCTCGGACAGGATATCATCGAGGAGCCATCAGGGCAGCAGGCCAACAACCCTAGCCAGGGCTCATCTCTCCTCGTCCTTCCTCCCCTGCCCTCCCCCCGATCCTCCCCTCACTTCAAGGCTAGGTGCGGTGCGATCCTTTCCCGTTCCGCCCCCCTCTCTGATCCTCCTCCTCCGTGGATGAGGAGCATGAGGAGCGAGAAGGAGAGGGGAGGCGGAAATAAGATGATGCATGGGCTATGAGTCGTTGACTCAGGAGGGGGTCGGGAGGAGGGGCGACGTTGAAGCAGAGCGAGGTGGTTGGTTAGGAGCTGGAGGAGCAGGATGGTGGATGGACAAGGGGCAGGCAGGGATGCAATGGGAGGGAGGGGGGCTGAAGCAGGGGTGCGGCAGGGATGCTGCGGGGGGATTGAACTGGGAGGGAAGCTGTTAGCAGGTAGGACAGCAGGAGTGCAAAAGGGACTTTGGAAAAGAAACGGAGGAATAGCACGACGAGGTACGGTCGGAACGAAGTATAAGGTCGATGTCGGTTCGGAGAAGGCATCCTGATGTTTTTGGTGTGTTGTTGGATGTTTCCGTGCGTCCTGGCGGAGGGTAGCCTCGAGTGCTCTTCAGGTTGGTTGGCTGAGGGTCTCGTGTGCTTGAAGGATGCCATTGTGTCGCAGGATCGACCGTGTGGAGGAGAGCGAAGGAATATCACGACGATGTGTCTCCTGATCGCCGTTGGTGTCCTGCGGAGGTCGTCGCTCCCCCTCTGCCCAGGAGCTGGAGGCGGAGATCCAGAAGGTGGTGGTGGAGGAGGTGGTGGCAGGCGCGAGTGCTGGTCTCCGACCACTTTCCTCCAGTCGACAAGGAACCCCGACGTACACCCTAGGCGATGCTTAAGAAAACGGAAGGTTTCGGCCAGAATTTCGATTATTCTTGAATTTTCAATGTAGATCTTAAGATTTCAATAGAAGTTCCGGGTTTTTATTCAAATTCTGAGACTCCGAGTTTCTTAACCCATGATTTCTTAAGCATTTCGCAAGGTGTAGACGTGCATTCTCGGAGGTCCGCGCGTCTTTCTTGAATCCGCGCCGGGCCCCCCTAGCAACGCCTCCTTCGCCGCCCCTGTCGCGCGCCGCTCGACAGGGGCGGGGGTCCGGCGCCACCCCCGAGAAAGCCGCGCGCGCCTCTGAAAGTTCGCGATCGTGCATTGCTGTGGGCTCCTCTGCCCGCGATGCCGTCATGTGCTCCTTGTCCTCGCCGGCATCGGCGCCGTCCTCTGATGTGCCGCGTCTTCCGCCGGGAGAGCCGCAGCGGACCGCGCTGCTCGGGCAAGGCTGTCCGGACCCGGACGGGGCGTGTTGAGGGGTGCGTCTCCCGCGCCTCTTGTTCCATTGGCTTCCGCGCTGATCTGGCTCCGCTGCGGGCAAGGGACTCCCGAGGTCAGCGATTCCAAACGAGCTCCAGAGGTCCCAGGGAGGACTCTGGAGCTCTCTGCCTCCACATGGTCGACGGGAAAAAAAACAGATCTCCAACTGCGCCGACATTGGCTGCAAGCTCCCTGCGTAAGCTCGCGCGCAAGCGCCTTCGTCTTCAATGTGACGTGCCGCGCCGGCTGCCCGCGTCAGCCATGGCGTACGTAAGGTTGCCGTGTCCTTTCGCGTAAGTCACGTGTTTGTTTGTCGTTCACGTGTACTTCTTCATCTTATACCCTCCGTCCTCCTCCCTCCTTGTGCAGCGGCAGAAGGGGGATCCCCCACACATCATGCTACATCGCAAAGGCCCCTGAAGGGCATCGTCAAGTTGCTATTCTCTGCGAGGAGAGCAGCCCACGAGCAATGGGAAACATCTCGGGCGTGGGGTCCCTATCGCATATCGCTGGTTCTAGATGTCCTCTCTCTGCGCCGGAATACATATGCAGCCCTCGCCGGCGGGAGTATGCCGGCAGGTCGGGCGCCCGTTTTCTTGTAGGCGCGCGTCTGCCGTTGGCGCAGACGATGGCGTGCAGCGCCACAGTCGGGGTCTTGAAGAATGAACGTTTTTCGTTGGGGAGGGGCTTGGTGTTCCTTAATTGCTCCACACATTGCCTGAGGTTTTCCTTACGTTTTCGATGGGAAGTCGAAGTTTAACTTATGGAAAAAAGAGGCCTCGTTCCTTATTTAAGGGCCCTTAGGTCAACGCCTCGACTGTACATGGAGAGGGGGCAGATCGCCAAACCACGTGTTTGCGCTCTTGGGCCCCGGGCCCGTCGCGCTGCTCCGGCGCGAGGGGCGGAGCTGGCTGCGATGGGACACGAGTGAGGAGCTCCTCCTCCTCCTCCTCCTCCTCCTCCTCCTCCTCCTCCTCCTCCTCCTCCTCCTCCTCCTCTGTTGTTCCTTTGGTGGTGTTCCTGCTCTGCTACGCCAGGGGGTCGTTGGGGACACGCGTGGGGGTCGAGCCTCCGCGAGCGCCCTGCTCCCGTGATTGCTGGCCGTGAGTGCTGCTGCGGAGGGGGCGGAGAGGAGGGGGAGGGGAACACGATGAGCAGGAACAAGAGGTGGATGAGGAATGATGAAGAGAGATGATGTGGATAATGATGGTAAGGGCATGAGGACCATGATGCGGATCAAGGAGGAGAGGGAGGAGGAGGCAGGCGAGGAGGGATATATCAACATCCAAGATCATGTGAGATGTGGGGCACCGGGAACGCCGACCCTGATTGTGTCCGATGCAGAGGGCTTGCGTGGATACCGTGGTCCTGCCATGTTGGACCTAGCCACCCCTGCTCCCCTCCCTCTTCGCTCCCCCCCCTGTTTCCCACCTTTTTACCAACTCGCCCCTCCCCTCTCTCCATGCCTTCTGCCCCCCCCCCGCCCCCCCATACCTCCACCTTCCTTAATCCCCCGCCGTCTCCGACCACCCCGACGCCCGCCCTCAGCTCCCTTCCCACACCCATCTACTCCATCCCATATGTCCTTCTCCCCCGCCGTTCTTGTTCCTCCTTGTTCCTCCACCCCGGTTGCACTGCATCCCCCCTTTCTACCTCCCCGCGCTCCCTCATTCCTCCATCCCTTTCCCCCCTGGGTCCCTCCCTCTCCGTTCTCCCTTCTCATCCCTCCCCCTCTCCCTCCTCCCCCCCTTCCATACCCCCTTCACTTCCTCTCTCCTATCCCTTCCCCCATCCCGTCCCCCTCGATCCCTCTCCGCTCTCCCCCGCTCCAGCCCGTCTCCCCCTCCACCTCGCTCTCTCTCTCTCTCTCTCTCTCCCCCTTTCGCCCGGCGCTTACCGCGCGCCTTGCGGAACGGGGCGCGCGCGCGCCGCAGCCGAACAGAACTCCACGGCTATGCCCCAGGACGCCGCGGTTGCAGGGGGAGGGGGAGGAGGAGGAGGATCGAAGAGGGTGATTCAGTTCTCTTTTCTTAAAGAGAAATATGTTCCACCACCCTCCCACTGCGGATCCGATGTAAAACACATATGATTCTGACCTGGTGTCCATCCTACCTGTGAGTTCATAAGATCCCAGCCAAACCGGTATCGACCCCCCTTCGGTTCCCTCTCAACAGCATATTTTGCGCGCGCACTCGTTTACCACAAATCATAAGAACCTTTTGCAACACATAGGACGAAGTGCGCACGCGCGCGTCGTTGCGTGCGCATGCCGAAATAAGCAGAAAAAATTAGGTTATTGAAGGATTTTAAGATCGAGTGTCCACAACACATATAAACCAGTGGGTTTCGCAACACGGATTTCCAAGAAAAGCGTGTGCGCGAGTTCTTCCGAATTATTGAAAAACCATAGCTTGTCATTGGTTCCACAATCTACTATCACAGGGGCTTCGCGCGCGCATGTCGAAATCGTTCGGACGCCCTTGCGCGCGTGCCGTCGCGAGAATCCTTTTGCAACACATGGAACGAAGTGAACACGCGCGCGTCGTCGCGCGCGCATGCCGGAATCCTTCAAAAACCTTCGGTCTTCTAGCGGCTTCAAAACCGAATGTCCAAATTAATAAACACACAAGGTTTCGCAACACCAGTTGTCAAAACAGCGTGCGCTCGCGCTCTAGCGAATTCTTAAGGCAACCATCGTTTTTCTTCAACATTCATGGGATTCTGCCAAACAGGCCTCTTGCGCCGCATGCCGACATCATTCGTAGGCCCTTGCGCGCGTGCTGGGGGGGGGGGGGGGGGGGGCGTGTCCGTGTCCGTTTCAAATAATAGCACGCGGGCCACTCGCGCGCCGTCCGCGCGCCCATGTCGACCCCTCTCCTGAACTTTCATCGCCGACGCGAGGGCTCCGTCATCGTCCTCTGCGTGATCAGCATCCGCGCCGTCACTGGCCGTGGTCGTCGCTGCCAGCATCGTCACCAACATCGCTACTATCATCACCGTGTGTACCGTTGTCGACGTTGCCGACGTTGCCATGATACCGCGCCCGACCAAGTCGCCGATTCGCGTCGAAGTGCCCACCGGGATGTGCCCAGCGGTCAGCGCCACCGCGGCTGCGTCGGTCGCGCCAAAGTGCACGCGTCCGCGTGCGTGCGCGGGCTGTGGCGGCCGCATACATGCACCAGCCAGCGCCAAGCACTCATCGCAATCGCCGCCTCATGGGGTTTGCAAACCAAGTTGCGGGTGAGTGGGTGGGATGTTTGCGCGAGCAGTGGCGTGGACAACTTCAAGTTGAGAATTGATTGGTACACGCATAGACTTTGGATCGGCGTTGGGCCCCACAGGCGGAGCCCGTGGCGCCGCCCCTTGCGCGCTCCGCGCGCCATGGGGGGGGGGGTCCAGCGCCGATCCAAGCGTCGAGCGAAGCGTCGAGCGATTATCTTTCCCCTGGGCCTATTCCTCCTCTTACTCCTCCTCCTCCTCCTCTTCCTCCTCCTCCTCTTGGTCTTTCACCTTCGCTTTCTCCTCCTTCCTCCTCCTCCTCCTTCTCCTCCTCCTCTTACTCCTTTTCCTCTTACTCTTCCTCCTCCTCCGCCTCCTGTTATTCCTCCTCATCGTCCTTTTCATCCCGTGACTCCTCCTCCCCCTCCTCCTATTACTCTTCCTCCTCCTCCTCCACCTCCTGGCATGTTTATCGGTGATCGGACTTAAGCTGTGCAGCTGTAGCGTTCGCGACATACTGTACACCCGACTCGGCGCACGAAGTACCTGGCGGGCGCAGCTGGAAACGCTGAAACATACATGTATGGCGAGGGTAGAAACACGCGAGGAGGCGACCGCCAGAGACCGAGGACAGCAGGTTCCCTACTGAGACGAGCCCCCGCGACCTCAGTAACATTAAGCCCTTTAAGCCCTTTTCAGATTCACTGGTACGTGCTGCCTCAGCTTCGCATTAAAATAGATCGAAAAAGTGCAGCGTAAGCAATCCTTGGGCTGCTATCCCTCGTGAGCAAGATGTGACTTCCCACGATTCCCTAGCGTGCCCTCCCCAAGTACAACTGTCCCCGAGCTAGCTTTGCAACGCTTGGCTAGCTCGTGCGGTATCGGTTGGCCAGTAGTGGTTGCAGTCGGTGTTTCTACCCCAGTGTGGGAGAGGAGCCAAACAAGTAGCTTGCAATCCTTAGGCTGCTTCTCTGGAGGATCGGGAGGACACAGGGGGGAGGGAGGACGCAATAGTATATCAGATGAGCAGGAGGTCGGAGGGATGATTATGGCTGTGCAGTGCCTGGAAGTCTCATCAGGAATAGAGAGAGTGTCAACACAGCGTCTGCAATCCTCGGGCTGCTACCCTTGTGAGCAACCATGTGTTCGTACAGTGGTTTCTCTGACTAAAAGTTCACAGAGGGGCAACGCAGCGCATGCAAGCCTTCGGCTGCAATCCTCGTGAGCAACGATCAGCGAGATGGCTGTCTTACGTCAGGCTGGCTCGTATTGTAATGGCTGGCAGGTGGGCGTGCGATCCTTGGGTTGCTAATTGTGTGGGGGGAGAAGGCAAAATGTATTGAGACGTATTGAAGGGCAGGAGGCTGGAGTGAGGCTTCTGTGCGAAGATTGGTTGTGCCATGCTTGGCTGTGCCGTGTCAAAATGAGAAGGGTGGCAATACAGCGTCGCAATCTTTGGGTTGCTACCCGTTAGAGCAGAGATGTGAGAGTACAATGTGTTCGAGGTATTTGGTCTAGCTTGGCTGGCTCGTGCTTCCACGGCTGACCAGCGATGTACTCGTTGTGCCGCAACGCGCATTTTGCAATCCCAGGGTTGCTACCTTTGTGGAAGCGGGGCGCAGAATCAGGGGAATGCGGACGGGGGACGCCGTGCGATGTATTGGGCGGAGCTAGTTGTATGAGAATTGGTTGTACGGTGGTTGGCTGTCCCGTACTTGAGACACGGGTGGCAGTGCAGCGTATGCCATTTTTGGCGGGTTACCAATGGGGGCAAATATAGGACAGATGGCGGCGCCACGTCAGGCTGGCTCGCATTGTGAACGCTGGTCATTCGACTTGCAACACTTGGGTTGCTACCTCCGTGGGGGGGGGGGGGGGGGCGAGTGGCACTGCGAAGTAAGAAGGATATGCTTCGCTGTCCTGTAGTGAAAAAAAGATTGGTCATGTTGCTTATGGAATCCTCGGCTTGCTCCTTCTCCTCTTACTCCTCCTCCTCCTCCTCGTCATGATCTGTCTCCACCTCCGCATCCTCATTGTCCTCGTCCTCGTACGCTTTCCCCCTCGTACTCCTCCTGCGCCTTCTCCTCCTTCTCCTCCTCCTATTACACCTCCTCTTCTTACTGATCCTGCTTCTCCTTCTCGTCCTCTTACTCCCCCGTCTCCTCTTACTCCTCCTCCTCATCCTCCTTCTCCTCCTACTCCTCATCGTGTCACTTCTCCTCCTCTTACCCCTCCTCCTCCTCGCCCTCATCCTCCTCCTGATACTCCTCCTCTCATTCCTGCTACTCGTACTCCTCCTCCTCATTGTCCTCCTCCTCCTCCTCCTCTAACTCCTCCACCGTTTACCCCCCCCTCCTGCTGGTCGGTTCACTCCTCCTCCGCTTACTTCGTCTCCTCTTACTCCTATCATTTACCCTTGCGTTTCCTCCTCCTCATTCTCGTCCTCATCTGATGTTTCCTTCGCCTCTTACTCCTGCTCCTCCTCCTCCTCGTACTCCTCCTCCTCCTCTTGCCCCTTCACCTTGTCGTCGTCGTCCTCCTCCTCATTTTCCTCTTCCTCCTCCTATCACTCCTCCAATTGCTCCTCGTACTCTTCTTCTTCTTAATCCTCCTCCGCCTCATCCTCGTACTCATCCTCATCGTCCCCCTCCTCCTTCTACTCCTCCTATTACTCATCCGTTTTCTCTCACTTATCCTTCTTGTCTTACTCCTACGCCTCTTCCTCATCCTCCTCGTCCTCTTCCGCCTTCTCTTCTTACTCCTCCTCCTCCTCCTCGTCCTCCTCCTTTGCTCATTGTCCGCCTCCTTCTACTCCTCCTCCTTCTCGTGCTTCCTCCTCCTCCCCCCTCCTCGCTCTCCAAATACTACTCGTCCTTTGCTTACTTATTATCCTGCTCCTCTTACTTGTCCTTCCTCATACTTCGTTACTGCTAACGTTTCGCCATGCTCCTCTTCCCCATCCTCCTCTTACTCTTCCTCCTCTTACTCTTCCTTCTCCTCCTCTTAGTCTTCATCCTCCTCCTCCCCCTGCTCGTACTCCTCCCCCCTCTCCTCTTATTCCTCCGCATACTCCTATTATTCCTCCTCCTCCTTCTCCTTTTCCTATTCCTCCTCCTCATCCTCCTATTCCTCCACCTCTTACTCCTCCTCGTTCTCCTCATCTTTCTCCTTCCCTTTTTTACTTCTACTCCTCCTCATTTTTCTTATTCTCCTATTACTCCTCCTTTGCCTCTGCCTCCTCTTCCTCCCGTCACTCATCCTCATCTTACTCCTCCTCTAACTCCTCCTCTTCCTCTCTGTGTTATGATTATTATTATTATTAGTATCCTCCTCCTTAGTCATCCACCTCCTCCTCCTCCTCCCATTTCTCCTTCTCGCCTCTTCCGCCTCCTTCTCCTCCTCCTCCTCCTCCTCTTGCTCCTGCTCGTCTTTCTCCTCCTCCTGCTCCTTTTCCTCCTCTTACGTTTCCTCCTCCTCCTCTTATTCCTCCTGCTCTTACCCTTGCTCCTCCTCCTCTTCCTCCTCGTGAGGCGCTGCGCTCCTCCTCCTCCTCTTCCTCCTCCTCCTCCTCCTCCTCCTCCTCCTACTCTCATCCTCCTCCTCCTCCTCCTCCTCCTCCTCCTCCTCCTCCTCCTCCTTCTGCTCCTCCCTTTCCTCCTCCTCTTACTCCTCGTTGCCCTCCCCCTCCTCCTCCGATTTCTCCTCTCCCTCTTACTTCTCGTACTCCTCCTTCTCATCCTCCTTATCCTTCTGGTCCTCCTTCTCCTGCTTATCCTTCTCGTCCTCCTCCATTCCTTTTCCTTTACTTGGTCTTCTCCCTGTTGCACACCGAGGCCTTTTTTTAGGGCGGTCCGGGCGTTTTGCTTGAGACCTCGTCACCATGCATGCCCCTGAAGCTGAAACGATGACGCCAGTTCCATTGATGGAGGGCGGGTCGTTTTCAACATGTGGCTCTCGCCTCAGCGCCGCGCACCTTTGTTTTAACGATTTGCAAGAGTTTCGCGGGTTGAGGGCGGTTCCTTTTCAAGATGTGGTTCTCGTGTTAGCGCTTCGTACATGGGTTTCACGGATTGAGGGCGGTTCCTTTTCAAAATGTGGTTCTCGCGTTAGCGCCGCGCAGATTCGTGTTAACCATTTGCAAGAATGTTGCGGATTCCCAGGATCAGCGTACCAGACATTTTTTTTGGAAGGAGTCAGGATTATGAGGGTGCAGCAGTTACATTGATTCGCGGTGTTGGAGTCCCAGGAATGGCGTTCTGGCACGATTCAGGATCGTCAAGGCGCAACAGTCAGATTGATCCGTGGCGTTGAAATCCCGAGAGAAGAAAATTATTTGGCATGCATCAGGGTCTTCAAACGATTGTCTTCCAACGAGGCAGTTCCCTCAGTGGGAATCAACCCTTGTAGGGGCCTGTGAAGAGTGAGCATGGAGGGAGGGCTTATTCCAACATCGTGGATGCCGCTTGGGCTTACGCTGGTCCTCCTCCTCCTGCTCCTGCTCCTGCTCCTCCTCCTGCTCCTCCTCCTCCTCCTCCTCCTCCTCCTCCTCCTCTCTTTCGCCCGCCTCTTCCAGGACTCCGCGGGCATGGACGCCGTGGCCGGCAGCACCTCGGGCAGCGCCGACGCGGCCGCGGAGGCGCCCCCCCCCCTGCTGGGGGGGCCCTGGCCGCCTCGTGGCCTCCTCGGGGCGCCTCGGGGGCCTGCTCGGGGCACAGCGAGGATCAAGTCGTGCGTGTCCTCCTACAGGTTACCAGCCTGGAGCATATCCCTATCCCTATGCTGGGCACCTCCTCATCACGATGCCAATCTCAGGGAGTCCCTCATTTTTTTGAGGGCGAATCCCTAAGATTGTCATCGCATTTTGGCGTGTCAAAACTTAAGGATAGGGATACGTTCGAGGATGGTAAACAGGGGGATGCTGGGCGAAAACTAGAACATATTTAAAGCATACTCCCCAAGTGCTCAAACACAGTCATAGAATCGTCCCCATATTATTTTTACCATTTTGGGGATGCTGGGCGCCTCGGTGATGCTGGGCGCCTCGGGGGCCTGCTTGGGGCACAGCGAGGATTGAGTCGGGCGATGCTGGGCGAAAACTAGAACAGATTCACAACATACCCCCCAGATGCTCAAATATAGTCAAACAATCGTCCCCACACTTTTTTTTTGACTATCTTCGAAACTTCCCCATGTAGAGGGACACGCCCGACTTCAGACGAGGACGACGCCCCAGGATCCCAGATCTCTGATGATATGCTCTTGTCAATCTGGGCGATTTTCATGGTCGTCGACCTGTGGTGCCCGTTTTCGAATTCTGGGACCGTCAGACATGGACCCGGGGCAAAAAGCTGACCCATGGGAAGGCATCGGGACCTTGAGCCGCGCATGGGAAAAATCATATCGTCGGATGTCCGTCCCTGAGGCCCACCTTACGGATCTGTTCGACTCTGGTTCGGATTTGGTCGATCGGGCTATTTTCGTGGCCGTCTTGGAGGCGGCCAAGGAGCCTGGGGGATCCTTTTCCTCCACAAGCAAATAAACACATACGCCTCCCAGTGGACTGCCCCGTGGCCACACGGCCACCTTCTCTGAAGGCACAGGGGACATGAGTCGGCCGGTGTGTAGATGGTCGTGACGTATCTTCGAGGCCCGCTGGCCGTCTCTGGAGCTTTGGGAATTGGCTCGAACTTGTTGTTCGATCTCCTTTTTGTTCGAACATGTATTGGTTGCAGCTTGGTTTTCTTGGAGACTTCGGGGGCTGCCGAGGGGCGACATCGCACGCCTTTTGGACCGTTCTGGGCGTTGTGCAGACCGAAGCGCTGAGTATGCGAAGTATGCAAGCACAACCCTGTTTTTGTGCCACTTGTTGAATGTATGTGTATATATCTAAATCGTACGACCAGTGTCCCCATCTTCCAAGTGTTTAGTCATTGTTACTCGTATCATGCCCTTGCCTCACTCCCACCTCCTGCTTCCGTTTTGCTTACACATTCAGGCCACACATTACTCTTAGTTGGACTTGAAACTCATTCCCACTCTGACCACTCACACTCCGACTCACTCGCACTCAGACATTCACAGTCGCAGTCTCTCGTACTCAGAGGCACCCATACCCAGCCCAACCGACACTTTGACACTCGGACTCACCAAACATTCTACTCACTCAACTCGGGCTCAGCCTTACTGATATTCACTCACATTCAGGCTGTATCTTACCCTATACTCATACTCCCAGGCTCACTCAAAAACAATGGTTCGATCCGTGATAGACCCACTCACCGCGATCTAGCAGGCATCGCTCGTGGACCACACGAACAAAAGGGGTGACGGCCGGGCCCAGCTAGTGGGGACCCCGGTGCCGCTCGCGCGACGGTTTTTTGGGGGACGTCTCATGGGAAACGCCTGCACTGGAAAGGGAAGTTGACACGCGTGTGTGCCGTGTTCCATGGTCGATGTAGCCCGCATGCCTGGCATCGCACGGACGTGTGCATTGTTCCTTCGGCGAGGACCATCGAAGAGCATCCTTGGTCATTTGGCGAAACAACCACGCACGAAACCCAAAAAAAACATAGGGAATGGACGTCCGAGCGATGGCGAGCATGGCGCTGTACCATCCTGTAATGACTCACGATCCCGTTCACGCCCATCTTGTGGGAACGACTTGGGCGAACCTCCTTCTTCGGGGGGGGGGTGCGCGCGTGCCCGTTCAGAGCTCCGAAGGGGCGACGGACAGGTGTGTTTCATGGGCCCGCCCGAGGCCAGATTGTACATCTGTCTCCGTCGAAGCGCCCGTTTTGGAAAGTGGGCGCGCTTTGTCGCAGGGCCCAACAAGTACGGCAGGCGGTTCCGTAGACATTTTGGCTCAAGCCATTTGGGCTCAAGCCATTGTGGCTCAAGGGAGGCCTCGCTTCCTTCAGGTGAGAAGGCGCAATCACATGACCTGCTGACAGCAGGCGGGCGCGAATCTGACCAGCATGTCGAAGACTTCCATGACTCTGCCGAGAAGGCTTGGATTGTTTTTCGAATTGCCCACGCTTTGTATCATTATCGTGACCATGGTTGCACTTTCTTGGCCGCTGGTGGTTGCCCTGCGAGGCTGCCAGTGTTGGAGCCTGGTCGAGTTGTGGAAGCCACCTGCCGAATCAGAGCAGTCGACGTCATCAGAAAGTACCCTCAAGGAGATTGAAGCGGAGGAGTCTCTTGGGTCCGCAGAGAACAGCGAGGCTGGCGAGGATGCTGAGAGCCGTGCAGTTGGCGTTCTGAGGATGAGTCCTGGACTGAGTCCAACAGTTCACCCGCGGTCCCGAGCCCCGGTCCAGGACCCAGACGAGACGGTTACCAGTCCATCGGTCACCAGGCGCACAGCGGGACCCTTGGGAAAGCCGACCGCTCTGATCCATATCGGGCCGCCCAAGACGGGGACGTCGTACATCCAAAAGGTCTTGATGGCGTACCGGGACAAACTCCTCGGAAAGAATATGGTGTACTACGTGCCGCCGGTGGGGGGACGTCAGAAGCCAGCGCATCATTTTCTTGCGCATCCAACTCGAGACCAGGCCGCAATGACAGCCTTCCAGGATAAGCTCAGCGAGGCAGTGGCTAAAGGCCAGCACGTGATCGTCAGCTCCGAGGCGCTTTCTCTCGTGAGTCCAAAGTTGATATCGTCGCTGAAATCTTTTTTTTCGAAGTTTAACATCAAGGTTGTGCTCACTCACCGGCCATTCCTCGGTCGGACGTGGTCTGCGTACAAGCAGCACCTCAGCACACACAACCCCCGCGAAATCGGCGTGTCGTTCGCCGAATACTATGGGAAGGCATCCCGATCAGGGACAGATGACGCAGGATTGTGTGGGCACGCCGCCAGCAAGTATATTCAAGGATTTGGCCGTGACAGCGTTTTCATATTAGATTTCCTGGGGGCACAGAATGACGGCGACATTGTGAATATGCTGCTGTCTGCCGTTGGTTTGCCGACTTTCGAGGAGCCGCTCGAACGAGTCCACGTCGTGCCAGGATTGACTTCCGACCAGGTCGTTTATTCCCAAATGTGGCACTTATTGGGGAAATACATGTTTGAGCATCACCATTGCATATCCGTAAGGGCTTCGCCCCCTGCCGCCGGCCCCCTCTCTCGGAGAATGGGCCATGGAAGAGCTAAGTCATGAGGCTTTGGCGCTGTCGTGCAGCAGTATCGGAACTTCATGCGAGGCCGATTCGCAATCGGCAAAACCAACTGATCACAAGAGGGGTTACCACGCAGGGCGATTGGTAAGACGTGTGTGGTTTACGAGCTTGGTTACCACACCTTGAGATTAAAGGGCCGAGGGGGCACTCGCAGTTTGGGTTACCACGCCTTGCGATTGATGTGCGTGAGGGGTGGCACCGCATTTCAGACATGTGGCAAATCCCCTGTGTTTTTGGACCCTGACCCCGCGGATCTGCGCGAGGGGTGGCAGCGAATTTCAGAAATGTGGCAAATGCCTTGTGTTTTTGGACCCTGACCCGGCGGATCTGCGCGAGGGGTGGCACCGAATTTCAGAAATGTGGCAAATCCCGTGTGTTTTTGGACCCTGACCCCGCGGATCTGCGCGAGGGGTGGCACCCGAATTTCAGACATGTGGCAAATGCCGTGTGTTTTTTGACCCTGACCCCGCGGATCTGCGTGAGGGGTGGCGCCGAAATTTAGAAATGTGGCAAATCCCCTTTGTTTTTGGACCCTGACCCCGCGGATCTGCGTGAGGGGTGTCGATTTCGAGCCCCCCCACCAATTCAGACAACGCGCCCAGGGGGTGCTAAAAATCCCGTTTGGGCCCCCCCCCCCCTCGCGCGGTCAATCAACGAGTTACAGTAACCAGCAAGAAGCAGAAGTGTAACACTGGAAACTACAAGCTACACCTGGTACAGGAAACTGCGAATCACGGTCCTACAGCCTGGTGGCCCCGCAAGGGGGGCCGGCGGATTGGAGATGCCGCCAAGGCAAATGCTCGCGTACAAGTTTGATGCGATGGTCAAGCACCACACCATGCCGAAGAAGTGTTTGGACATGGAGCCGATGAGGAAATACGCACTCAAAATGGATGCCAATTTCCGAGCTGCGTTTGGAGACCGCATTTTGCACTTTCGCCCAGATTTGTCAGATAATGAGACTACACATTTCGAGATCTGCGAGCTAGACCACCAGATTGTCAGGATGGACTGGAATGATTTGTTCGAGAAGCATGCCGAAGCTCTTTTGAGCAACTCATGCCAGAAGCAGTAGAAGCGGTGACCAGATCGAGTTGCACCTCAGGAGCGTCTGGTCGAGTGCAGCTGGAGGAGCCCCCGAAACATCGGAATGATAATTCATAGATTAAGTCTCAGTTTCGTTTTTGGCGTTCGAATGCTCGGAAAAAGGTGAGTGGTCGGCGCCTCAGCATGTGTGCCGGTCGCGCCAAGGCGCGTCAGGTCGGAGGCCGAAAACAAATTACTCCGACGGAAGGACCCCGCATGAGAATCTCTTTAGCTTGCATGGGGGTATCCTCCTGCCCCTTCCCTTCTCCCACCTACTCTTGCCCCCTCGTTCTCCTCCAGTCTGCTCCTCCTGCCTCAACCCCTGCCTCTTCCTCCTCTTCTTGCCTCCTCCACCTTCTCCCCCTCCCCCTCGTTATGCTTCCTCCCCCCATTCCCCCTGCCCCTCCTGCCTCCTGCCTCCTCCTCCTGCTCTCCCTCTCCCTTCTCCTCCTCCTCCTCCTCCTCCTCATCCCCTGTCCTCCTCCTCTCCCTCTCCCTCATCCGCTTCCTCCTCCTCCTCCTCCTTCCTCGTTTCCATATTCCTCCCCCCTCCTCCCCCCCCCTCCTCCTCCTCCTCCTCCTCCTCCTCCTCCTGCCTCCTCCTTAGGCCTCCTGCCCCCTCCTGGGGCCTCCTGGGGCCTCTTGGGGCCTCCTGGAGCCTTCTGTGCCTTCCGGGACCTACTGGGGCCTCCTCGGGCATTCCTCCTCCTCCTTTTCCTCCTCGTCCTTCCTCCCCTCAGCCTCTTCCTCTTCCTGCTTTCCTGTCTCGTCCTGCATCATCCCTCCTCCTTTTCCTGGCAATCCTCCTCCTCCTCGTCCTCGTGCGGAACACGACCCAGAGGAAACGCACGACGTGCGTCCCAGCCGATACGCGCCGGAGGACGACCCAGAGGAAACGCGCGCCGGAGGATGACCCGGAGGAACCACGTCAGCTGCGGGACCCATAGGAAGGCCCCCGCCTGACGCGTCCTCACAATTCACTCACAGACGAGGGTCCCGCTTGACACTTCTTCCAAATTCAGACCTGAGGAACCCAAAAGTGACGACAGTTACAGGAATCCGATGACCCGCTCGGATTACTAACGTGATCTGCGGGCCCCATAGGGAGGGGGCTCCCGCCTGAAACTTCCTCGCAATTCACTCACAGACGAGGTTCCCGCTTGATACTTCCTCCAAATTCAGACCTGAGGAGCCCAAAAGTGAAGAGAGTTACAAGAATCCGATGACCCGCTCGGATTAATAACATGACCTGCGGGCCCCATAGGGAGGGGGTTCCCGCCTGAGACTTCCTCACAATTCACTCACAGACGAGGTTCCCGCTTGATGCTTCCTCCAAATTCAGACCTGAGGAGCCCAAAAGTGACGACAGTTACAGGAATCCGATGACCCGCTCGGATTAGTAACGTGATTTGCGGGCCCCATAGGGAGGGGGCCCCCGCCTGAGACTTCCTCACAATTCACTCACAGACGAGGGTCCCGCTTGATACTTCCTCCAAATTCAGACCTGAGGAGCTCAAAAGTGACGACAGTTACAGGAATCCGATGACCCGCTCGATTAATAACATGATATGCGGGCCCCATAGGGAGGGGGCTCCCGCTTGAGACTTCCTCGCAATTCACTCACAGACGAGGTTCCCGCTTGATACTTTTCCCAAATTCAGACCTGAGGAGCCCAAAGTGACGACAGTTACAGGAATCCGATGACCCGCTTGGATTAGTAACGTGATCTGCGGGCCCCATAGGGAGGGGGCTCCCGACTGAGGCTTGCTCACAATCCACTCACAGACGAGGCTCCCGCCTGATACTTCCTCCAAATTCAGACCTGAGGAGCCCAAAAGTGAAGACAGTTACAGGAATCCGATGACCCGCTCGGATTACTAACATGACCTGCGGGCCCCATAGGGAGGGGGCTCCCGCCTGAGACTTCCTCGCAATTCACTCAGAGACGAGGCTCCCGCTTGATACTTCCTCCAAATTCAGACCTGAGGAGCCCGAAAGTGAGGACAGTTACAGGAATCCGATGACCCGCTCGGATTAGTAACATGATCTGCGGGCCCCATAGGGAGGGGGCCCCCGCCTGAGACTTGCTCGCAATTCACTCACAGACGAAGCTCCCTCTTGGTGGATGATGGTGATGGGATGATGACGACTGTGTTTGATGATGATATATGATGATTGATGATGATGATGATGATGATGATGATGCTGATGATGATGATGATGATGATGATGATGATGATGATGATGATGATGATGATGATGATGATGATGATGATGATGATGATGATGATGCTGATGCTGATGATGATGATGATGATGATGATGATGATGATGATGATGATGATGATGATGATGATGATGGTGGTGGTGGTGATGATGATGACGACGTGATGATGACGATGGTGGTGATGATGAGTGTTGATGGTGAGTGATCGTGCGATTCTGATGGTAAATGGTGGTGATGATGATGGGGACGAAGTGGTGAGTCAGCGAGTAGTGATGATGATGAGGATGATGATGATGATGATGATGATCGTTCGATGCCGATGATGGTGAGTGATCGTGCGATGGTGATGGTGATGCTGATGGTGATGATGATGATGAGTGGGGAGTGATGGTGATGGTGATGATGATGCGGAGGAGAAAGCAAAGAGGAGCAGAGGAGAGGGAGGAGGACGAGAGATCCTGCGCGCAGGGTGTGCAGAGAAAACAAAAATCCCACTTAGGATGTGGGAAAAAAAAGTACGGCAGGCGGTCCATCCAAGCGTGTGTCGACCAGGGCGGGTTCAGGGGCCCGTTCGCGCGCAGAGTCGGGGATCAATCGGTCCATGCGCTTGCTTTGAACAGTAGATTTAAGTCGAGCATGTTGCGAAACACCCGTTTTCGAAAGTGGACGCGTGTCTTCTAAGGGCCACGTGGTGACCGCGATTCAGCAGGCGTGCCATTTGGACGCCCGAAGGGATGGTGGACAGGTGTGAGTCACGCTGATGTCTCCACCGTGGCCCATTCACACCCAGGCGCTCGCACGCAGGATCACTCACGCCCAGCTGCTAGTACTCGGGCTCCCTCGCACGCAGATCCACTCGTATCGAGCCTCTCCCAAGTAAACGCGCCAGAACACGCATTCGCACAAGGGATTCTCCGCGTCGAGTGAGGCCACATGATTTTGGCCCCTCGGGTCGGCCCCTGGGGCCTCAAAGGCGGCCCAGGATGTTCCCAGGAAGGCCTCGTGCCTCGAGGGAGGGAAAGCCATCCGACCCCGACAGTGGGCGTTTACGAAACGGCCGTAGGCGTCTACTAAACAGCCCTGCCCTCTTCGATTCCTTCCTGGGCGCGTTTACTAAACGGCTTCGCTCGTCGGGGTGCTTCTTACGGGGGTGGATTTTCTGCCTTCCAATGACGTTTTCTGGGGGCCACCTTATGGCATGGTGGAAGTGTGCTGCGCTTCCAACCGCGTGCCCGAGCCCTTCAGAATAATCATCCCGGAGCCGCCGCGTGACCGCCCGGGTGCGCCCACAAACGCGCCCGGAGCTCGGGGTCTGGGCCGTTTTTGCAGATCGGTCAGAATTCTCAATCTCGACGCCTCTGTCGGGGACCTGATGACACTTCACTCAGTGCCTCAGCATGGTGGCGGATCTTTCTCTCTCTCTCTCTCTCTCTTTCTGTTTCTAGGACTCCTAGATGGGATCCGAGTGGGATCCGAGGATCGCGCCGCATCGCAGATGCATCGACGATTCGATTCGATGTAGAGCCCGTGTTTCCCCACGCTGACGTCGCCAACAAATCGGCGATGAATTGGCGATGTGGCGCGATCTGTCGACCCCATCTACTCGGACCTTTTTTCGGAGGCATCTTCTCAGTGCCTCAGCATGTTGGTGGATCTTTCTCTCTCTCTCTCTCGCTCTCTCTCTTTCTCTCTCTCTCTCTCTCTCTCTCTTTGTTTTCGGGAAAACCAGTGATGCTCGCAGTCCCGCGCCTTCCATAGTTGCACATCCTCCGCTGGGAGCCTGGTGCACTCCTTCGCAGGGCGTTTTTTCCCCAAACCCCCAATTTCGACGAAAATTGAAAAAGGTTAAGGAAACGGGGGAAACCCTGGGATACACCCCAAGGCCCAAGGAGGCTATTCGGACGCACCCCTTTCGTGGAAGGACGCCCCGCCGTCGTGTATATCCCAGGGTTGGGTCGCACATTCAAGTCCAGTCGAAAGCCTTCCAAAGCCTTGGTATAGGGGTCGACATATTCCTTGATACTTCTGGAAGACAGCATGGCGGCCCTTCGGCCGCGCATACGTTACTGCCATCGGCTCTACCATTACAGTGCGAGGCAAACGAGTGGGCCATGTCCAAAAGCGACGCGCCCTACGCAGCACCGCACGTACAGTCACGCCACATCTTGAGACACCTCTGGGTACATCTCTCTCTCTCTCTCTCGCTCTCTTTCCGCGACCCTCGATGAAGTTGGCCTAGTGCACCCACGGGGAGGCGAAGATGACCGCATGTCGCGCGTCGCGGTTTGGTCCGGAGAGGTGTCTTTCTCCATGATGGGCGCTCGAGAGCGCGAAGGTTAACCGCGCATCGCGGGGCGTGATGTGCGAAGTTGGCTGACTTGGAAGGCTGCCGAATATGGCATGATAAGGGTGATAATCGTCGTCTTGAGGGAAGACACGAGATCACCATGACCCATACTCCGCAGGACCTTGTCGATGCCGATTCTGGTCATGGTCCATGCCGGCCGTGGCCGACTCGCGAGGCTGCTCCACGAATTGACGGTCACCAGGACAGACGATGGCTGGGATCAGCAACAGCGCATCTGCGTTCAGTCTTAGTCGTTTTTACCTTCGTCGTCCGATGGTCGAGTGATCGATGGAGGTCCTCTTGTCTAAGTAGGTTTCCCAGGTGGGGTCGGAGTAGATGGGGTCGGAGGATCGCTCCGCTTCGCCGATGCATCGTCAATGCGTCTCGATATGGAGCCAGATTTGCTCCACGCCGACGTTGCCGATGCATCGCCCGTGCCGTCAATACATCGGCGATGCGTCGGCGATGTATCGGCGCTGCGGGTCGATCCCCCGACCCCGTCTACTCGAATCCTTGTTCTACGAGCACACCATCAGTCTGGTCAGCGAACGCCGTAGAGCGCAGCGTATTGGAGCTACCTTTCGGGGTCGCGAAATATTTTGCAGCTTCGCTGGCACGGAGCTGCAGCGGTCTCGGAAACACTCTGGCAGAATCGACGGTTGACGAGCTGCTGCGGGACATGGTGGAGCATTGTCGGATGATCACGTGGTCGAGGGAAGTCCTCTTGCTCCCTCCATGCCCGCAGGACGAGAGCCCCACGGAGGAGCCGCTGTCGGCCGAGCGGAAGCAGCGGGCCAAGGCCCGCGCGGACGCTCGCCTGCGTCGCAGCTGCTGCGCCCGCCGCAGCAGCCGACGGGGGGCCGGCGGAGAGCTCGCGTCGTCGTCGTCGTCGTCGTTGTCGTCGTCGTCGTGGGTCGAGAGCCCGGGGTAGGGGGCCGCGTGCGAACCCTACCCCTGCCCCCCACGATTTCTGAGGGGGAGGGTGGGCGTCACTGGAGCCTGGCATGGCCCGGACGTGTGCAATCTTCCTTCGGCGAGGACCATCGAGGAGCATCCTTGATCATTTGGCGAAAAAACCACGCACGAAACCGAAACAAAAAAGAACACAGGGAATGGACGTCCGAGCGATGGCCAGTACCGGGGGCCACCTCCCAGGCAGAGGCGCGACGCCAGGCGGGCGGTTTTCACAACCGGCGACGACGACCGTGCGGGTGCTGGCCGTGGCGCGGGGGGCAGGCGGGCAGGCGTCCAGGGAGGAGAGCGCTGCGCAGATGGACGGCCCGCGCCCTCCAAGAGCAGCCTCGTTCCAAGAAGTGTTCCCCCCTCCCCGTCCCCCTGACCCTCTCTGCGCGCCGCCGATTGGGCCGTCGTTGGGTCCAGGATCGGTGTATAGGCCCTCCTGTCTTGGCCGGGAAGGCATACACACACAGACACACAGACACACAGACACATACACATAGACATGTAGATGTAGATATATGGGTCTATAGCAATTATCCTGGCGAAGGACCCAACCATATGCAAACGTGAATACCGCAGGGCAGGTGGGACGAAGCAAAAAGAATTCCCAATGTGGCCACGAACCGTGTGAGGGGTGCGCCACACTGGGGCGGGGCCGCCATGCGAACCCTGCCACTGAGGCCTTCGGTGGAGCTCTCTATGTCCCTGCGGGGCCACGAACCGTGTGAGGGGTGCGCCAATATGGGGCGGGGCCGCCATGCGAACCCTGCCACTGGGGCCTTCGGTGGAGCTCCCTTGGGGCCACGAACCGTGTGAGGGGTGCGCCAAAATGAGGCGGGGCCGCCATGCGAACCCTGCCACTGGGGCCTTCGGTGGAGCTCCCTATGGGGCCACGAACCGTGTGAGGGGTGCCCAAAATGGGCGGGGCCGCCATGCGAACCCTGCCACTGGGCCTTCGAAGGTGCCCTATGGGGCCACTGGGGCCACGAACCGTGTGAGGGGTGCGCCAAAATGGGGCGGGGCCGCCATGCGAACCCTGCCACTGGGGCCTTCGGTGGAGCTCCCTATGGGGCCACGAACCGTGTGAGGGGTGCGCCAAAATGGGCGGGGCCGCCATGCGAACCCTGCCACTGGGGCCTTCGGTGGAGCTCCCTATGGGGCCACGAACCGTGTGAGGGGTGCGCCAAAATGGGGCGGGGCCGCCATGCGAACCCTGCCACTGGGGCCTTCGGTGGAGCTCCCTATGGGGCCACGAACCGTGTGAGGGGTGCGCCAAAATGAGGCGGGGCCGCCATGCGAACCCTGCCACTGGGGCCTTCGGTGGAGCTCCCTATGGGGCCACGAACCGTGTGAGGGGTGCGCCAAAATGGGCGGGGCCGCCATGCGAACCCTGCCACTGGGGCCTTCGGTGGAGCTCCCTATGGGGCCACGAACCGTGTGAGGGGTGCGCCAAAATGAGGCGGGGCCGCCATGCGAACCCTGCCACTGGGGCCTTTAGTGGAGCTCCCTATGGGGCCACGAACCGTGTGAGGGGTGCGCCAAAATGGGCGGGGCCGCCATGCGAACCCTGCCACTGGGGCCTTCGGTGGAGCTCCCTATGGGCCACGAACCGTGTGAGGGGTGCGCCAAAATGAGGCGGGGCCGCCATGCGAACCCTGCCACTGGGGGCTTCGGTGGAGCTCCCTATGGGGCCACGAACCGTGTGATTGGTGTGCCGAAATAGAGACATGCGGAGGGTGATGCTGATGATGACGCCGAATGTCATGGTGATGTTGATGATGACGATGATGATGATGACGATGATGATGATGATGGCAGGAGGGAGGGGGCACCGAAATAGAGACATGCGGAGGGTGATGCTCATGATGACGCCGAATATCATGGTGATGTTGATGATGACGATGATGATGATGACGATGATGATGATGATGGCAGGAGGGAGGGGGCAGCGGGAGGAGGAGAAGGAGGGAACGCGGGGCACCGTCTCTTCAAAACGAGGACCCAACACCACAGGATGGTTGGGAAATTATCCTGGCGAAAGACCCAACCATAAGCAATTGTTGGTAACGCGTTGTGGGTGCCGTTTTCGGTGGGGCTCCATATGGGGCCACGAAGCGCTGCCTTGGATGGGGGAACCGCATGCGGACTGCGCCACCGGGGCGGGCCTTCGGTGGAGCTCCCTATGGGGCTACGAAACGCTGCCCTGGGTGGGGGAACCGCATGCGAACTGCGCCACTGGGGCCTTCGGTGGAGCTCCCTATGGTGCCACGAAACGCTGCCCTGGGTGGGGGAAGCGCATGCGAACTGCGCCACGGGGGCTTCGGTGGAGCTCCCTATGGGGCCACGAAACGCTGCCCTGGGTGGGGGAACCGCATGCGAGAGCAGCCACTGGGGCCTTCGGTGGAGCTCCCTATGGGGCTACGAAGCGCTGCCCTGGGTGGGGGAACCGCATGCGAACACCCCCACTGGGGCCTTCGGTGGAGCTCCCTATGGGGCCACGAAACGCTGCCCTGGGTGGGGGAACCGCATGCGAACACCCCCACTGGGGCCTTCGGTGGAGCTCCCTATGGGGCTACGAAACGCTGCCCTGGGTGGGGGAACCGCATGCGAACACCCCCACTGGGGCCTTCGGTGGAGCTCCCTATGGGGCTACGAAACGCTGCCCTGGGTGGGGGAACCGCATGCGAACACCCCCACTGGGGCCTTCGGTGGAGCTCCCTATGGGGCCACGAAACGCTGCCCTGGGTGGGGGAACCGCATGCGAACACCCCCACTGGGGCCTTCGGTGGAGCTCCCTATGGGGCTACGAAACGCTGCCCTGGGTGGGGGAACCGCATGCGAACACCCCCACTGGGGCCTTCGGTGGAGCTCCCTATGGGGCCACGAAACGCTGCCCTGGGTGGGGGAACCGCATGCGAACACCCCCACTGGGGCCTTCGGTGGAGCTCCCTATGGGGCTACGAAACGCTGCCCTGGGTGGGGGAACCGCATGCGAACACCCCCACTGGGGCCTTCGGTGGAGCTCCCTATGGGGCTACGAAACGCTGCCCTGGGTGGGGGTACCGCTTGCGAACACCCCCACTGGGGCCTTCGGTGGAGCTCCCTATGGGGCCACGAAACGCTGCCCTGGGTGGGGGAACCGCATGCGAACACCCCCACTGGGGCCTTCGGTGGAGCTCCCTATGGGGCTACGAAACGCTGCCCTGGGTGGGGGAACCGCATGCGAACACCCCCACTGGGGCCTTCGGTGGAGCTCCCTATGGGGCCACGAAACGCTGCCCTGGGTGGGGAACCGCATGCGAACACCCCCACTGGGGCCTTCGGTGGAGCTCCCTATGGGGCCACGAAACGCTGCCCTGGGTGGGGGAACCGCATGCGAACACCCCCACTGGGGCCTTCGGTGGAGCTCCCTATGGGGCCACGAAACGCTGCCCTGGGTGGGGGAACCGCATGCGAACACCCCCACTGGGGCCTTCGGTGGAGCTCCCTATGGGGCCACGAAACGCTGCCCTGGGTGGGGGAACCGCATGCGAACACCCCCACTGGGGCCTTCGGTGGAGCTCCCTATGGGGCCACGAAACGCTGCCCTGGGTGGGGGAACCGCATGCGAACACGCCCACTGGGGCCTCCGGTGGAGCTCCCTATGGGGCTACGAAACGCTGCCCTGGGTGGGGGAACCGCATGCGAACACCCCCACTGGGGCCTTCGGTGGAGCTCCCTATGGGGCCACGAAACGCTGCCCTGGGTGTGGGAACCGCATGCGAACACCCCCACTGGGGCCTTCGGTGGAGCTCCCTATGGGGCCACGAAACGCTGCCCTGGGTGGGGGAACCGCATGCGAACACCCCCACTGGGCCTTCGGTGGAGCTCCCTATGGGGCTACGAAACGCTGCCCTGGGTGGGGGAACCGCATGCGAACACCCCCACTGGGGCCTTCGGTGGAGCTCCCTATGGGGCCAAGAAACGCTGCCCTGGGTGGGGGAACCGCATGCGAACACCCCCACGGGAGAGGGAGGAGGAGAAGGAGAGGAACGCGGGCCCGTCTCTTTCAAAACGAGGAACCCAACACCACAGGTGGTTGGGAACAAGAACGCCACAATATGTTAATTATCCTGGCGAAGACCCCAACCATAAGCCATTGTTGGTAACGCGTTGTGGGTGCCGCTTATCGTGGAGCCCCCTATGGGGCCACGAAACGCTGCCCTGGGTGGGGGAACCGCATGCGAGAGCAGCCAGGGGCCTTCGGTGGAGCTCCCTATGGGGCCACGAAGCGCTGCCCTGGGTGGGGGAACCGCATGCGAACACCCCCACTGGGGCCTTCGGTGGAGCTCCCTATGGGGCCATGAAACGCTGCCCTGGGTGGGGGAACCGCATGCGAACACCCCCACTGGGGCCTTCGGTGGAGCTCCCTATGGGGCTACGAAACGCTGCCCTGGGTGGGGGAACCGCATGCGAACACCCCCACTGGGGCCTTCGGTGGAGCTCCCTATGGGGCTACGAAACGCTGCCCTGGGTGGGGGAACCGCATGCGAACAACCCCACTGGGGCCTTCGGTGGAGCTCCCTATGGGGCAACGAAACGCTGCCCTGGGTGGGGGAACCGCATGCGAACACCCCCACTGGGGCCTTCGGTGGAGCTCCCTATGGGGCCACGAAACGCTGCCCTGGGTGGGGGAACCGCATGCGAACACCCCCACTGGGGCCTTCGGTGGAGCTCCCTATGGGGCCACGAAACGCTGCCCTGGGTGGGGGAACCGCATGCGAACACCCCCACTGGGGCCTTCGGTGGAGCTCCCTATGGGGCCACGAAACGCTGCCCTGGGTGGGGGAACCGCATGCG